ACGTAATCAGAATTTGTCATTTTAAAGTGTAAATATGTCCCTCACTCTCTGGAATTGTGCTTGTTCATCTCCTGTGATAGGCATGCAAAACAGTTCAGTGGTGCTAATCTGATCAGCAGTACAACAGATGCCAAACCATAGTGGATGCTCCATACCAAACTATTTCAAAATCACTTTCCATTGGCTCTCACAAGAGACACTGTAACAGCAAATAGAAGACTTGAAGGGTAAGACCAGAATTCATTCCCCCAAAAGGTTGTCTCCTTAAGAGATGCACAGTAGAAATTCTAGAGAAGATTCTTTTTAAAAGATAGCAGAGATGACAGTTTTGGATCAGTGAGAGGAGCTCATAATCTTGCTACTGCTTACCTTAAATGTTATTAGGTGGTGTGCTTTCCTATGAAATATTTGGACATGCAGAGGATGATCTGTTGGAGTTAATCTGGAAAAAGTTCACTTTTCTTCTCTGCTTTTACTGGATGTTATCGGAGAATGCTCACCACATCGCGAGATCAGGCCCTGTGATCATTTACTGTATTACACTAAAACTAACTGCTGAGCCTCATTTTCCATTCTTTTGCATTCATGTCATTAAAAATGGGTTTAAGTGTCCCAGATGTGTTGCAGAGCAACAGAGCCTCAAGGTTTCTGCATTTTCCTACCAGAACCAGCTGTTCCACCCCAGCTCTTCCTAGCAGTGTTGACTGCAGCAGTTTTTCTGGTGGTACTTTGCTTCACTAGTTCTCATCCCCATCTCAGATCACACATACAGAAACTTCTTTCTCTTACCCTTTGGCTCTAGAGGTTTTTTCCTTCTCTTCTGACATTGTTCTCTGCAATATCTTAATTCGGCAACATATTCAGGGGGATGCCTTAAGAAGTCAGTGTGAAGGGGCAGAATTAATAAAACTTGCTCATGCAATAAGAGATATTAAAAATTCAAAGGTTGCTTTATTACATGTTTCAGTAGAAGCCTGTTTCAAATTCTACTAGCAAATAGCTACAGTCATCAGATACATGCCCTAGCTGAACAGTAAGAATTGTTACGAGCTATCTAATGATTTATGCTGCATTGACTGGAACGTAACAAATCCCAGACACATGGAATCCACACTTGGAGGGGAGGGATGTGAATCCTTCCAGGCACACATAAACCAGAGATTAATGCAAGTGCTAGTGTACACATAAGAAGAAATTTGTCCCACTTTCCCCATTCTGCCATTGTTATCAGTACCTAGATTGTCCAAAACCACAACAAATTACAGAGCAGAAGAGTTGTAACTAAGAATCTCTGTGCTGGAAGCATTACTGCAAATCGTGTTGCTAAAATAAAGCAAATAGCTAGAAGTTAGATTTTCTTTTTTTCTCTAAGAGAGCAGCTTGCTTATTTAATATTATTATTAGCCCTGTTTATTATTCATTTCTGGAACCCTATTTATTTTTAACTAGGCAAAAGATCACCAGTGCTTTTTCCAGACCAGGAGAAAGGCTCCATAAATAAGGCAGGGGAGGTAGAAAAGTACTTTGTTAGATGTGAAGCATCTGCTGTTCCCAGGGAGGTACATGGTTTTGAGACTGGAGTCACAGATGGGCTCCAAAAACACTGGGAGTTAGGTTGCAGGGTAAACATCTATATCCAGATGAGATGCTGTATTGCTTCTCCTTCCATGACTCAAAACCAAGGACTGTTATGCTTTTAAATCCCTGAAAAACATTTCTACTTCCCTTGGTATTATACATCATGTATTTTAGTAACTCTTGACAACAAACACCACAGAAAAAAAAATGCAGAAACCTACTAGTTTATGAGTAAAACACAATTTTTTCTTCCATTTTGTGCTTGCAAGGGGGCATTGTAATTACTGCTTCACAAGCGCCATGACACACAGGCTGGTTTTGGCAGCTTTAACCTGTCTTCCACAGTTTGCTGAAAAACTCAGATACCCCATTTGCCTAAAGCCTGCTAATTATTAACTGCTGTGATGAAGGCAGGTCTTAAAAGATATGTATCTGATCTATACTAATAGGACCTTTTGCTGGAGTAACTATTTCAGCCTCTGCAGCCAGCAGAGCATCCCTAACCTGGATATAACTTAACAGCAGCAGAACCACTGTATTTGGCAACCCTTCTGAAAGTCACCCTATAACTATATAATAGTTACATTGGTGTAACTGCATTTGTATTAGATTTTCCTAGCCTGGCTCCACTAGCCAGATATCACACCTTTCCGTATCCCTGGCTGATATTGCTGTGCCAACAGAAGTCTGCAACGCAGATCTGGCTACAGATCTCCCTGCTGGAGAGGGAGGGATTTATAAATAACCATCCTAACCTGACACCATCCCTTATTAGAGAGGGAATCACGATTCTGTAGAAGAGGCCCAGACACTCCAGTGGAGACCATCAGTCTCTTCACTTACACCAGTGCAGAAACAGTGCAACCCCACTAATTTCTTTGGATATGCCCCAAATTTACACCAGTGCAAGAGCAGAAGAAAACTTGGCTTTAAATCCAATGCTGCTGCAGTGTTTGGTGCTAGCGATGTTGAATTCTGACTACTTTCCATTAAGGTGATGGGGTTGGGTGGTTTGCACCTGGACCCAGATTATATCTTCATCTGAAGATGCACTGGGTTTTTTACTGAAATTATCCAAGTGTTTAGGGTTTTTGCCTCATGCTAATGAAGACAAATTGCTTTGCAGTTGCCATATGATTTAGAAGAATGAATTAAAGATTACGAGGGAAATTTGCATCAACATTTCTTTTCACTGTCATGATTTATACCAGCTGCAGACCCGACCTCAAAAACCCATACTGATGTACACAGTGCAAGTCAAACTTCACAACACAATGCCATTTCTCACAGTCCCAAGCCTCCTTCTAGCAGCACTATATTTCTCATACTCTCTGGGGACACTCATCAGTGACGAAGTTTGTGGTATAAGTTAGTTTCTTCTGATTCTGTGGGCTTCCTACTACTTCTGCTGCACACACACAGTGCTAGAAAGAAACCGGTCCCTTACATTTGTTGTCAGTACTGAGGAAACCACTAAGCCACAAGCCCCTCACGCTTCCCAGACTCGCTTAGTAGTTCCCAATTTTTTTCAATTGTGACTGCATGGAGAGGTGTTTAAATTGTTCTCTCCTTTCCTGGATGGCAGCCAGCACAACACACATTTTCAGGCAGGGTTGATGCAGAGCCAACTCTCTGCCTAACAGTGTGAAAGCATTTCATGAAAAGAAAATTAAAAAAAGAAGGAAATGACTTACTGCTAATGGCTTAATCCCTTCTGCTTTTTAGCAAATGACATCATAACCAAACCCAGGAGTGCATGTCAGAAGGCAAAGCCAAAGCAAACCTGTGAGATTTACCTTCTATCTGACATGCACATGCACTTCATTCTGCTACCCAGTATGCACAGCACAGCACCAGAGTTAATAGTATCATGACGTGAAACAAGCAGAGAAAGATCCCTAGGGTGAAAGACAGAGTGTGGGGATAGAGGGGTGGGGGCAGGTGATGAAGGGTGTAGAGCTACACTTCTCACAGTCTGAGCAATTTGCTTCAGCAGATGACTGTGTTGTCATTGTCTCACCCATGCCTGAGGCACAGCAGGGCTTATTTGTTTTTATCCCTGTTCTGATTTAGAGTGCCACATGAAAGACAGTGGGATTTGTGAAAAGGGTGAGATTATACAACTATCCTCCTATGGAGATTTACCAATTCAGGTGTGTACAGTTATTTGTTAAGGTCATGAAAATTGTAAAGCTGGAATGATATGCCTCTAAAAGATTTGGAGGCTTTTTCTTGATGAGGAGAAAAACCAGCCTTGCAGCAAATCTACCTGAGGATGATTTGGCTCACTCACCACTTGCACGCTGGAATAACTGCTGTTTCTACCACACACCTCTAGAGCATCACCAGCTAGGTCTTCAACCAGCACTTTTACTCAAACTCCACTCATCATCTCAAACTCCTCTCCCAGCCACAAAGCAACTGGGTATTTCTCTCAAAAATCTCAAATGCTGTTAATGGCACCCCCAAGTAGCCAACAGTGAAGTACAGAAATGAAGCTCTCAGATGAGAGCAAGACATTTGCTATTCACTGAGGACTTCTCTACAGTAAGAAGAAACATTGAAGAAATATCAGCCTTAGTCAACACGCTGAAGAATCCCTTGCCTAGAGAAGATATAGGGAACATGTTTTTCACCTTGATTTCTGCCAGTGCACATTACCTCACCTCACCTTCCTTATGCCATCTAGACAAGACCTGAGATACTCATACCCCAGGTCGAACACATAATTGTGGAGTTAGATTTTAAGTGACTTAAATTGGAAAAAAGAGTAAAATGAAGTTTTAAGGGTAGGCTAAAATTAAGCTTCTATTAGTTTCAATATTAACATTCAAGCAAAACAACAGGAGCCGGTTTCCACCTTCTAGAGCAAGTTTTCAATGTGCAGCAACACAGGCAGACAGCGTTTCACCTGGGCACAGTCTGGGACACAGACAACACACCTTACAGCCAGAATTTCCTCATTAAATTACACTGCACTCAAACAGCTGACTCAACAGTTATATTCATATTTCTGACACTGCATCCCTATCCCTTTACTACCAGCAATGTTTTAGCACAGACTTTATAAAAGTGACAAATCAGCTGCCACTTGCTGACATCTAAACTTACATAGGGTTACAAGTAGCTGTCTTAGGCCTGGTGCCTGTGTTTTTACTCAGCCAAGAGTCCCACAAAAGCCCACAGGCTGTCACAATATGTCCTCAGTGACAAATCTGTCATTTCTTCTTCGCTGAAGATCTGTTGCAGATCCACAACTTTTGACATGACCATTCTCATTATTATTTTCCCTCACCATTATAGTGATAATCTAAAAAAATACTTTGAGAACCCTAGAGGGAAACCACATGGTTCCAATCCAGAGTAATGTGTTTAAAGTTAATGTAAACATGTTCTTAAGACTGAGCTTTTCTTGAACTTACCATCATTTTTAAGGTGTCAAGCACAGTTCATAAAGGAAGTCTCGCCCAAAACACTGGTTTGTCAGACATCAGAGAAGTGTTCCTCTTGCTTCTGGTTGCTTACAAGCTCTGCAGAAGAGAGCACACTCCCTAGAAAAGCATTCTTAAAAGAAGCACCAGGGAGAGAAATAAGAGTTCTCAGAGCAAATGTAAACAGACATCAAAATATAGAAAATAGGTCTAGAATTTTTTGTAAGAATTTGAAAATTACTTTAAGATAGGGGAGAATCAGAGCTCTGGAGCGGCTTTCCAATAGGGCAGGAAAACAACAACCCTCAAAATGGAATTTGATAAATTAATCAGAATTCATTTAATTCTTGGGAGAAGAGGGATGAGACTCAATGACCCAAGAGATCCTTTGCAGTCCTGTATTTCAGGAGTGATAGTTTTGTGGTGATTTTAGCTGACCATTTTAGAACTTAGATGCATAAATACTTGTAATATACTAATGCTGTTTGTTCCTTTACATCAGGCATGTTTTCCTAGTACATCTTGCTCTAGCATGAGGCAGGCAGGAACAGACACTGGCTTCACTCCTAAATGACTTTTAAAGGATAGAGGAAGAGTACATTTCTTCTGTGTAGGACTCCTGCCAGCAGTTCTGCAAGCTGGAGCAGTTGTCCTTATGCTTAGCAATACAGATACACAACACCACTTCATTTTACCGTAAGGAACATATGGTCTGTCTAGCATGCACTTGAACCACTGCCATTTCATTCTAGCCTGGCTGTTTTCTAACAACAAAAGAATCTGATTTTCAACCAATCCATTTTGTCAGTAGCGTCGTCTTAAACCCATACAACTCATCACCCAGCTAGAGGCACAGTTGCAGCCAGCTAAGTTTAACTTTGCTCTGCAGCAGCACAGGAAAAAATGACCTGCCAGCATTTAATCACTGAATGTATAAGGTTAAAATGTCTCTAAAAGAAGGACACTAGTACCCCCTGCATAATTAATGTTTAGCCATAAGGTGAAATGGTTAACTTGAATCTATTGATCATCCTCACAGGCTAAGGATTAAGCATATCACTGTGTCTGCATGGAACAGCTGCTGTTCCCATAAGCAAGAGGGTTCAGCAGGCAATGAGATGATGCTCTCATGCATCAGACAAGGGCAAGCAAAACTAGTGAAAGTATTTACCCAAGAAAAACACAACAGGATGACCATTCTGGATGAAACTGAGACAAACTGTAAACTTAACAACATTTGTTTATTATTGTAATTAAAAAATAAATAAATTACTACTTCAGAGGGCATTTTGTAAAGAGCAAAATCTGGTCAAACACATGCTCTTTCTGCTTACAGTTTTAAGTCTTTTGTGATGCTAGTTTGCCAGACAAGTTAAGATAACGGAACAGCCCTGATGTTTTCCCTGTGCAGGGCAAGGAGTTGAATCAATCAGGATTGCTAAACACATGAGAAAAAATACGCAACAGAAAGAAACAGCTGGCAATATTAAATTTAAATTGATCTTCATAGAGAGAAAAATGGAAACGTTGTGATAGGCCAACATTTTCATGAATGCATACCCTGCTTGGCTTTGAGCAGGGCATTTGAGGATCTTAACGGAACAGCATGGTTCAACAAATGCCTGCTAATGAATGCAAAAGTTGTAAAAGGAAAACTAAATATAAATATTATAAAAATGCAACTTCATAAATTAGCTGGTTTTACAGCTTGTACTGAACTAGCATTCACAACTGCATTGGAAAAGAAGAAAAAAACCAAAACCCAGTTGATGTCGCTACCCTTACGTTATCATGTTTTTATTGTGCAAAGCAGAATCTGACAAGTAATTTCTAAACTGTTTTATGACCACGCTGATTGCGATTACAGAGTGAAGAGAAAAGCCAGAGTAACACGAAGGCTAGAGCAAATGCCCTACCATAGGGGCCTAAAGCATTCAATATGCTTCATTTATCAAAAACAAAATCAAGCACAATCCAATTACGGCACACACACATACACCTTCATGGTGAAAAATAGCTGGTCTCAGAGGGTTGTCTGACCTAGCAGAGAAATGCATTGCAAGAATCAATAGTAAAAAATAAAAGCTAAAAATAACAGCACAAATTTAGAAATAAAATAAGCAACATTTTAACTGTGACACATTGCTGAGACAGATTATGGACAGAACCAGTACATTTCTTTTTCAGTTTTAAATGGTATAGTATTTTCCTAAAACACAAGCTACCTCTTGTCTAGCAGGAGCTGGCACACACAAGTTCTGTGGAATGGACTACAGAGAACAGCAGAGGTAAGAGATCTGGCAGAGGCGCTTTTCTGTGCTTTTTTGGGCCAACCACACTTTGAAATCAGTCATTTCTCAATACTCTTAACACATCACCACACCCCTCCCTCTAAATTTGTTGCCAAGTTTCCTATGAAAATAAGACACGTGTCTTTGTGCTCTACATAGACATGGGTCTGTCCACTGCCTCTTAGTCATTCTGGAACCCAGTGGTAAATGTTAACCAACTTTAACAGAAAGGTAGGGGGTTTCTAAAATACTAAATCCTTAAATAATTTGTGAAAATAGACAAAAGAGAGAGGATCTCGTAGTCCCCACAGGGGAACTGACCACAGCATTAGACACTAGAGAATCCATGTGGGAGAAGGTAAGACATGCATATACACACTTCGGAAGCAAGGCTTCGTTAGTTTTGCTGTTCATAGTATTGCTTAAGTGAGAATACTACAAAAGCAATTTTGTGCTGTGGCTACTGATAGTTTACCTTGAGATAAACATGGTCTGTATGGTAGCTGGGAGATGTTGATCTGATGATCTCTTTTGGCCTTAAAATCTATACCAGTGTGTTACTTTTTCTTCAAATCTGTCATATAGTAGGGGTCTTCCATCAATCTTAGTCTGAGGAGCTCTCTAAAACACAGTAGAGAAAAACATGATGTACAATACTGCTTTTCTTACTCATCTGAATTCCACATTCAGCACAAGACTGCAGGGACTGGTTTTGGTTTTTTTTTAAATACCACTGCAATTTTCAGACAGATCCCCAAAAAGGAGTTTTAATAACCAGTTTGACAATTGACAGCATTTCATTTTACTGAAAAGCTAACTGGAAAAAGATCCCTTAGCAGATCCTGTCGCAATGTCAGGTTTGCCGAGAGCAGAGGTGCTGGCTGTTAGAACGCTTCCTGCTGTGGATACATCTAGGAAGCAACCACCTCGCTACCCCACCACCCCCAATCAGGGTGGGATTAATTCCTCCCAGGAAATGAATACATTGGCTCTAGAAGGAATCCAAGTGCCTAATTTTAGATGGAATGCATGACTACTTAGGCTACTAAAGTTTGAAAAGATCAATCACACATCTGGCTGCAGAAGAGTTTGAAATTAATACAAGATGAGGTTGGGAAGATTCAGTAGCAGCCAGTGTGACCCCCTTTAGCAGGGTGGGGAGTAAAGCCATTGCCTGCAGACATGGCACATGAAATCCTGGTTTCGCTCTGAATAACATGACTGGTACCAGCATTTAACCATATGTCTCATCTACAGGAAGGAAAGTACAATAGAAGGAAGGCCATGCAAAGTCCATCCTTAGGAAACATTTCCCCAAATCTTTAACAGGGCATGTTTGTCTCAGTTTTATTAGAGGCAGTTTCTATTAAATTACCTGTTTCTGCCTGTTCCTCCAGCAGTGACTAAGGCAGGTTTAATTGCATCCTGTGAAAGTTATGCTGCATTGCTCACTTTCTGTTAAGGAAACAGAAATTAAAGCTGCCACATGAGAATGGAACTGCTGCACCTCCACGCAACAGCTGGCAAGTGAAGAAAAGGCATTCCAGTCACCAAGACATCATTTCCGAAATTCAGACAACAATCAAACGCCTTGAGCCAGTCACACCAACTAATGCTGTGGAAATGATGCTTTCGTAGTACGTAAAAAGATTCTATTAGTTTGTTGTTCCCTTCTATTTGCGTATGAACAAAGAATAACAACAATAAACATAATGCAGTTATTTACCATTGCATGACATTTTCTGATCCTGTAACACTAACACACCCACCCCTAAAAACTAGGTGCCAAAGAGAGATGCTGTCTCACAGCAAGCATGTCAATAGAAAAAATCTGGGAACACCCCCCTGAGCAATCTCATTCTAGACGAGAGCTGATAGTGCACGTAACCCCAATGGCAGGGCCACTGGAGAGACAGACAGGACAAGGAGCCACGATTTCTTGCCAACCTGTACTGGCAAGAAGAATAAAATTCTGGCCAAAGTATTCCTCATGACACAAAAGAGGAGTGCTACAGATTCCTTTCCCCAGGGATAAGAATTACTAATAATTATAGCAGCACACTGTTCTCCAGCAAGACTTGAATCGACAAGGCTCTGAGCCCCACCTATAAAGAGGAAAATTCCTCTGCGCCTGCTAACAGCTATTAATCAGTACAATTCAGACCAGAATAAATTAACACCAATTAAATGCAGTCAGCACAGCTTATGGGCATTCCTTTGAATATGCCTAGTTAGGAACACAAGAAGAGCTTCCTTCTCCCTGGGCTACAGCAGCTTGTCACTGCCACTGACCGTATTACTCACTGGGTGTGGAGTTATCAAGGCAATGACCCAAAGAACGCTGAATATCAGTTTACAGCATGGAACTTTCACCTACCCCATGTCTGTTGGTTCATCTTCACATGCCATCTCTTGGCACATGTTTTCTGTATCCAAGAATCCACAGGCAGCTGCTTATTGTGAAAATAATCAATACACTGTAGATGAGGAAACATAATCCGTAAATGCTTTTGAGATATTTTCTGCCAACACTGCTGCTGTGCTTGTAGCCTATTTATTTCTGTTGGCCTTTTACATTTCCTGTTATATGCGGAATGACCTTTGAAGAGAGGAATGTCAAGTTAAAAACATTGATTTAGGTTTTCAATGAACTTGAAAAATTATTTAAGATCTTTCAAGCAATGCAATCCAAGAATGTATATCATGCATATCACCAAGTCCTGTTTAGTTATGACCAAGAATAATGTACTAATACAATGCACTACCTTTCAGAACATAAAAGTTAATGCTTTAACCATTGGTCCTCCAACAAAAATCAGGTTTAGAGCAATTCCACCCAAGTCAGACTTCTCCTTCCTACCCTTTTAGTTTTATTAGCTATCCTGAATTTGTTTTTAAGAAGAATCTTTAAGGGGAAGAAGGGAGGGAAGTTACCTTTCTTCTCTATTTTTACTACTGTCCTAAAAAGGACAGGTATATTTGAAAAAAGTGATGCATGAGACAGAACTATTTTTCCCTGCCTAACTTCTGCTGCTGACTTGCTTTGTAACCTCAGTGAAGGAAAAATTCAAAAAACCTCTTCTGTCTGATGATAGCCCCACCAACCCTAAAGAAAGGGCCCCAACCATAAAGCTAGTAGAACATCTGGAACCACTGCTATGCACACAGACTAATTCAGCAATTATTAGCTGACATAAAAAGAAGAGAATGTCTATGCAACATAGCATTTAAGACATGCTACATGGAGTGATGAGACCTAATCCCTGTTTCATTTAACACAGAAGATTTAAATATTCTCTGGAACACGTTAGAAGCCTGGTCTCCTCATGCATAAATAACACCTTCATAGGAGCCCTTGATAAACCCCATTTCCAAAAGGTTTTACTCTCATGCAATCTCTTGGAAAACAGAATGTGAAACCCTGTCCTCCTGTGCAAAGGTGTGATCTGATCTGCCATGCGACACCTACACACAGGCAAATAAATTAAGGCGGGGGCCCCAGGACTTTGCCTGGTTGTGTTTTGTCAAAGCAAACTCCAGCCATCAAACAAGGAGGTAAGAGTTCACGAGTGAATCATGACCAGCCGGAGGTACCCAAGTCTGAAGATTAGGGGTAAAACAACCCTACATTCAGCCTTGCCTCTTAACTTGAAGGCTCCCTGCTCAATGTCAGCATCTTCTGGATTGGACTCCGAGGCACCAGCTCACCTGTAGCTCAATACATACCCATGCTGGGACACTGGGTTGCTCTAGGCACTCAAAGCTTGGGGTCTGGTGTTCCTACAGCATTTTCTGAAATCACCCTTCAGTCGCTTCTGGAAGGATTCCACATCGCTTAGGAGTTCTACACATTTAAATTCTATTTTAATCCTAATACTACTTAGAAACATTCTAGGTATATGTTGCTCAGGCTTGCCCACAAACAGCAGGAGATTAAGGTGCCCAAACTGGACAGCAATAAAATAACATTGGGCCACCCAAATCTGTTTCCCCTTTTTTCTGTAGTTCTGCAAGTGTGGGGGGGCTCATTTACTATTTTAATATCTATAAACTACTAAACTAAAAACAAATGTGCAAATTCACCTTGACACTGTTAAATGAGTTTAAAACAAGATTGGTGAATGCATACAAATAGAAATGATCCAAATTAAAGCAAAAATCAATCTAGTCCAAAGCAAACTAATAGCCTGCATACAGATTTATATTCACACATTTACACACCACTGAGGTAACTGTCAGACACCTTTACTGAAGTTGGTAGCATGTTATGTTTAGAAGAGGCCTTAAGGTGCAGTTTTAAACCAATTTAATTAAAAGGGTACAAAAAGTTGTGCTCATCCTCTTAGATGTGATTAGTGTTCCAGCTTCATGAATTAGCCAGGTATCAGCTTAGCCACAGTAATTGTGCATGCAAGCCTAAACCTGCGGCCAACATCAGGCACAGTGTGATTAATCACAGGGAAATCTGGCAAGAAATTAGTATGTTTATTATCTCCTTTTAAACTCATCCTCTACTAATAGTTAAATTTACTTTCAGTAGGTATGGTGCACAATCCTATTAATACTGACCAAGGGAAGTGGAATCTAGAACTCTTAACATCAGTGGATACCCAGTCTTGTAATAGTATTTTAGGCAACTTTCATAATATATGGTGATGGAAATTCCGAGATGATTAGCTAGATATGACATTTGTCTTAATTTATAGGAAGGAACTCACTAGCACAGGTAGTACTAATAAAAACAACCAATCACAACCTTGGGGAACGTGTAGTGTGTTCAGCATCTAAGCAGAATCTGTCCCTATGAGATTATACTGAAAACAAGCAGCCTGTAGAGACTGATATTTCCATTTGCAGTTTCCAATTAAAACATGCATTATTTATAGCAGTAGAACCTTTGCCTGAATATAACAAGACAAAGAGTCCTTTGTCAACTCTGTTACAGCCCCTAACCTATGCTGAGGCTGCACTTTGTGGAACTACTGCTCTATGAAAGGTCTTTCCTGACAGCAAAGGGAAGTAAGAAGGAAAGGGAATGCAAGGGACAGTTTGTTCAAAGGGAAGCACAGTTTGTTTAACAGTTTTATAACAGTCACAGAGAAAACATACCTCAGTTTCCCCTCAGACTCACATAAGTTGACACTCAAAAAACCACACACATCACTGTTTACTGGCTTACACAGAAAGAAAACAAAGCACACTAACTCAGATATTCCTAGAAAAATTGTGCTTGGAGCCGGAAGCAGACTTGGAAGATCTGTAATATATGTGACAGTTAAACTAGAAACTAATTATCTACCGATCTAACTATATTTAAAATGGTTTACATTAATAAATGATAGTTTTACATGATAGCCTCTTCAGTCTTCCATTAATAGCTACTCCTGAATGACCAGGGTGTGTGGACTTTTGATAAAAGGCTAGTATTCCAAGATGTCTTACACAACAGACAAGAAACATGTCAAGATTATTACTTTCTGTATCTAAATTTTGTTCCTTTTCTGGAGAGCAAGGAAGTATTTTTGATAGACCGTGTCATACTCATACTGAAAGATCACTTACAAGGACATACCAAAATCCTTCACTTTACTGCAGAATAACTACTGCCTGAGGCTAGTATAAAGAACAGATTAGAATTTGGCTCTATAAATCATACCTTATACGTACAGAAACTGCTGTCAGTAGTCAGTCTTTTCAGTAAACTAGCTAATGCTGAGTATTTCTGCCCACTTACAATAGGCTAATAAATACATAAAAAAGAAATAAAGCACATTCTATATTCAAGATCCCATTCCTAATTAACATATCAAGGCTATTATACACCCTGCACTAACAACAGTGGGGAAAAAAATGGGGGGAAAAAAATCTCAGCACATTAAAAATTCTAGTGGGCATGCAACTGCACCATGCTATGCCTGCAGCTCTGCTGTTCCACGCTGTACTCCTGCCTGTTCTCAAATGCTAAGGTTGAGCTTGGTGCTTATATGAAAGACATGAAAACAGGATAGAATGCTGCCAGAAGTAATCTCTTGTAATTACTAGTAATTTAATAAGTGGTATAGACCATCCTTCACATTACTGAATAAATTCCCTAGAAAAGTAGGTACTAGATTGCTTACACCACAATTGTCAAGGTGACATCAAAATGAAAGCTCAGTTCACTTACCAACTATTAGAAGTCCCCTTGTGCTTTTTGCACGACTGAAACTGTTGATCTGACTTTTGGCTGAATTCCAGTTTCATTAATTAAATTCCACATATCTACATCCCTTCTGCAGTTCGCATCTTTTGCTACTGCTAAATGCTTTCAAACAACCAACATGTTAAGTCAATGTCCTCTGGGCCTAACATCAACAAGGATCAAAATATTTCCCCAATGCAAAGCTAGTGAAAAGCTGCTGGAATCCTTCAGAGTAAAGTACTACTGTTGTCATAAATAAGTACTTACCAGTCAAGCAATTTCAAGTTAAAGAACCATCAGACTACTGTACAAACAAGTTAAAATGCTGCAATGTAAACTGTATTAAGGAAAGAAAATATTTCCCATTAGTAATTATGTATGTGCTTAGTTGCAATTGTCCAAGCATTACACTCCCAGATGAAAAGGAACCAAGCGTTTATGCTTGGTATACACTTCCAACCTTTTCTGTTCCAAATGTACAACAGGAAGATGAGGTCTGTGATGCTCAAAAGTTTCTTTCTTCTCTGAAAAAAGTTTCTCTTTAATAAGGATTCTACCTACAATTTGCCAGTAGCTATTCTCCACATAACTCTTTTACTAACACATTCCTGTAAATCAAGAAATCTAAAACTTACCTGAAGGGAAACTTCTATTGTGTTAAAGTAGTATATTCTTTACAATTGTGTTTAAGAGAACAGTGTAGACACACTTCAGTCACTGTTTGCTTCTGTCTGGTAGGAAGTTGTGATGTTAGGTTTTTTATTTTTAGCAAGAGTTACATTTCTTGAGTAACTTTCATAGCTAATAACAGACTCCACAAAACCACCATAGTCAAAGAATAAATCTGGAGTCTTAGAGTAAAACCAGTCCTCTAACAGGCTAAAATTAGAAAGTATTCCATTCTTCTAATTTAATCTTTTTTTAAAGTGAGTGATTTCTATTTGGCTAAATAAGGTACAGATGTATTTAATCACTGAATTTTCGAGTCAAGTTTATTTGATGTCATATTTCAATAGTTTATATTTTTACTTCAACACTAGATTAGCTTATAATAATAGACACGTTTTGTTATAAAAATAACCATGAAGAAATTTAATGAAATTTTTTTACCATATTATGAGTACTACAGCATCAGTAGATTTTCTTGAATCATCCACTGTTTTATATAGAGACCTGTATTAAAAATGAGATATGTAGTACAGAAACCACCTGTAGGGTTCACTGTCAGCTTTGGTACATTTCAAGAGATTCTGCCTTGAAATGCCAAACTCTTCATTTGTAAGTAAGCGGAATGTATCAGCAAGAGGTAACCAGAACAAAAGTCAACATGTCCACCCTTTGTGCAGCACAAATCTCCATGTTCCTCTCAGCAGATTGGAGTTACCACCTGTACAATAATGTACACAAAGCTTTTTGAGAAGACCATCCTAAGTGCTTCTAATTGCCACATAAGGACGGTTTCTCCTCTTCTTCCAGATAACCTCTGGCTTTCAGCACAAAAGTCTGACAATGCCAACAGCTTCTTTATTTGTTGTGATGCTCTGGTGGAAGTTTAAACATGAAGAACCTAATGTTCCACAGGAAGTGATTTGAGGGTAAAGGCGGGCTGGGATCTGGCTAATGAGGCTCCCGAACCCAGGTGTTATTTCTTATGTGTTTTCAAAGAAGTTGCTTGTCAGGGGTAGAATAGCAGCAAAAACTACAGTCAAATGCCTCTCCAGTGTGATGTCAGCATATGTGAAGGTCCAAGCTCTTCTTCTGAATGCTGTAAAAAAATTAAAAATGTATCAGTCATTAGTACCATCAATAGCAGTGAGCACTGCACAAACACAGGCAGTCTTTAGCTGGAGTGTTCACAAATCCAAAATAGTCAGGGGCTAAGTCATCCATAGCAAGATCTCATGGCTCTTTCTAGTGGCAGAGCTAGACCAGAATGCAGCTCTCCTGATGCGTAGCCCAGTGATTTCACTTACAGCTAGCTGTATTCCTATGTGAGGATTTCTAGACCTAAAATGTCTCATTTTACACAAGACAGACAACGCCTTTCACTATTTTTTTTTTCCTACCACTGGCATAAGTTTGTGGAGTTTGCACCATGTTTTCAGCAATATTTCTATTTTAGTGTCAATTGTGCACCTGTGGATATACCTGTTCTTTGAAAATAAAACCTCTGTACAGGCATTAAGAATCTAAACTCCTCCAAGCTCGTGTACCAATTTACTTTTTATGCATTTACATCCTCAGGATACAACTGCACCAGCATGCAGCCACACACACCACAGATGCATACATTTGCATGTGCATGTGAATCTGCATATAATTCCAGCTCAACAGAGTGAAAGCTGCAAATCAGTCTGAATATAGTGAAAAGTTTTGATCTTGCATTTGTCATTTCATTCTACCTATTTTGCATTATGACAAAGGGATATACCTCAAAATAAAAAAACTTAACCATAACACAAATACTGTCAAGGATTCATTCTATATTAAAATGTGAGGTATGCTACATGCTTACTATGGGTTTAAATCCTGCTCTGAGACAGTGGAATTATCATCTGGTCCTAAGCAAACCTCAGTTCTTCCAGATTCAGAGAATACCAAATCTAGGATCTAAACCTTTGGGTCTTGGTGCTTTCCCTGAATAAGGCCAACCTAGAATACAACTGTGTATAGGCTGTAAGAGAATCCAGACTGAGACTTGTGGGTTAGTCTCAGCACTTGTTACTTAATGTCAATCAGATTCCAGAACTTATCAATTTGTAATGTAAGCTCCTCTGAATTTAAGGTTTCCCTTAAACAGATATTGAGGATTGGTTTATTTTGGCAACAACTATTTGCAGCCCTATGAACTAGGAAAATTAAAACAATCACCTACAGTAGGATTCATCCCACATAATGTTAGACAACAAGCATATTATCTCCTAGATTTCCTCTGTAAAGTTAGCTTTAGGCAGGCAGTAAGTAACCCCTAATGGGGGCGAATTAACCCACACATTTAAGTAATGTCTCATATGAAATTAAGATGTCTTGTAGGCATGCCCATCATTCTCCATTGAGTACAGAAAGGGTCTACAGAGACATAAGATTAAACAACTGACTAAGTTGGCTAAAATTAATTCTTAGACTCAGTAATGCATATACCATACCAGTTTAAAAACCTCTTGATTGGTGCTGCAAATATTTACAGGGTTTCTATATTCAGGGTTGGGGTACTTAGGTGGTGGTGTTATTTATATGAATGCAACAAGCAAAAGACAGGACTTTATTAAAGTATGCTTAATCAAATAAGTATACCTTAACCCTCCTTTCCCCTCACACCTAATAAAAAAAAAATGTAATTGGTTGATGTGGCATGTGAGAAAGTATTTTACTACGCAGGCATAGAAAAACTTGGGATTTCAAGCTAAGACTTGCATAAAAAATGAAATATTTTCCCATACATTCTTATCAAAGCAGCACAGAACTCTTTAAATCCCTACCTGTATCATCATCAGGAACACACAACTTTCAGGAAATCCTCTTGCAGTCTTTGACAGCAAAACTACCGAAAATGGGAACCTGTCAGATTCTGTGCCTTCAGAAGCAGTCATCTCACTCTCCACAGTCACTAAGCAAGGCAGGTATCTCAAGCAAATTTACATCTCTTTCTATATAGCTCTGAGCTCTTAATATGACAAAAGCCTTAAAGTAAAGGGACTCTGCATGTTGTAAACAGCCCAGTTACATACACATTTTAAGTCTTGAGTTCATTATGTATATATATTTATGTGTGTATGTATATCAATACACACAGAGATGCACTTTAAAATTAAATTCCACTGTAATCCTGAATTTTGATGAGCAGTTGCCACTGCAGATTTTACTATTGTTTTTCATTCAATGTCTCTGGTAAACTCAAAGCACAAATAATCTTAATGGGTGAGAGCTTGAATAAAGAAACTCTTTTCTAATTGAACATCAGTAAATGATGTATATTAATTCACAAACTAAATCAGAATAGTGGAAAAGTTTAGAGGTGACACTTTTCTGTGTATTTCATCACTGCAGTTATGCAACCCTTAGTCTTGCTTACACTCAGATCTGTGTGCTCATGTGCGATTTCTACCCTTTTACATATCACTTTTGAATACAGCCCACTGACTCAGTCAATGGGTTCTATGTGGGTGTAAAGTATATGCTTGGGGACTGCAAAAGGGTTGGGTTTGCTTGGGGGGGGGGGGTGTCCTTTTTTTTCTTCTTTTGTATTCCTACATTTTGTTGTATTTTTTATATAATTACAGAAATAGAGGGTGTTATATTCCATTGCACTTAAAAATCTTAAGACTATTAGAGACCTGAAATAGATTACTTAAGAAAAAAAACCCCAAACCTTAACTGTATTTACCCAATTCAGGCACTTGTTTCACAAGTGGCAATTTCAAACATCCAAACTATTTAGGTCTGGAACACTAGGCAGGCATTTGCAGTTAACCACTATGTAGACAAGAACTAAATATTTTGTAAGTACAGATTTTACATACAAGAAAAGAGTACTTTCAGATGGTGTTATTGTTTACTCTTACAGATATCAGTTAAAACATTCACTTCCTGATGTTATAGACTCTCATTATTAAATAAAAGTTTTTAACTTATTAAAGAGCAATTCTATTAACTTCAATGGAACTAGTTTCACAGCAAAAGTTTAGCCATCATAATACAAACGCATGCTTACATGCACCTAACAGGGCAAAGTAGGCTGGTGGAAAGAGCCACGTTGTTAATTTGGAAGCAACAAAATCTTTGATCCCTGTAAGTAGGGATAACTTACTACAAATAAGTTTGCTTGTAAAGTAATACTGCAAAAAGAGACAAAATACCATGACAGGTATTACAGAATGGTTTATTAAAAAAAATAGATTTTTAGTAGTAGAGGACTTAATGACAGTCCCCTGTCATGCTTAGCTGTATCCTATAATTAAAGTTTACCTGACAGTAGAGGAAACTGGATTTCTTGTGCCTACTACAGTAAGGCGTAAAAAGAAATAGGTTACCAGTGTTCCACTCTATAGTCTGTAGAGTTCACCACTACCACTCCCCTCAAATTTTCCAACCACTATTTTCTCCTGTATTGGACATACACGATACTTCCTAGAAAGTATCTGCAAATAAACATCTGTCTTTGTAACAAGGCCTGTAAGTGAACATTCCATTACACAAATTTCCTTCATTTTTTTCTTACAACATTTGGATAATGTTTACACTTCCTAATTTTTGTGGCAGCTGTGTAAAAATGCAGAAAAAGCCTTTTTCCCTGTTATTCCATTACCAGATACTGAAAAGCTCTTTGTGAAGAAGGAATTTAGTTTAAGCTTGAGGTATCTTATCACTTTTGATAGATGTATTTCCAGATTTTAGTTCTGGCATCAAAAGACTCTCCAAAAGGAGCACTAGTTTTGTAATCAGAATTCCCTTTATTATGACAGATAAAGAAACAGTAAATTAAGCTTTCCCCCACATAACTAACAGACAAAACTAATCAAGCTGTCTCTCTACCAACCACTACCTACCTCAACAAGTGACTTGTGGCCATTAGCTTATCTTAGTTTAAACGTTTCAAGTTTAAAAGAAAAACAAAGCAAACAGTACATCATTTAGTGTACAGATTTTAAACACACAAGAATTTAACATTTAAGCAGCCTGTAAGGCTAAGTACATACTTTCAACACGGCTTTACTAAGACTAGCTAATGCTCCCACTCGTCACATGACACACTCTGCCAACACTGCAAAATGAAATGTGTTAGCACTGTCAGAAATGTCATCATTTCCTCAAGCAGTAGGGGTGGGAGGGTAGAATCAAAACACTACAAGCAAAGCTGCAGACAAAATCAGTGTGAGAAAGGTGTTCCATGCTGCTAATACAGCAAATTAAGACATACAGATAGTGAATGAACACATTTTTGGTTTTATACAAATCACTGCCATTTGTCCAGTACCCATTCAGACACAGATACTATCACCTTCCTCTACCAGATATTTTTGTATTTATCACATTAGCATTCCATACATCTTCCAGCACAATCTATGCAGTAGTTACACACGGAAAGAGCTGTAAAGAAGGGATAGAAAGTGATCCCTTTAAACAAAAAAAAGGCTTCACAGAGCCAAGCTCCAAACAGGAATATATTTAAATGTTTGACTTGGCTTTTATTAATGGGTAGGAGTTCATACCTTAAAGTGTGTGGGGTTTTTTTCTGGTTTTGGGGTTTTTTTGGTTCTTTGGATTTTTTTAAAGCCAACAGATTTACATAATTTGTCTGACAGAGGGATTATTTACACTTACCAACCATATGAACAGTCAACATTTGTAGCACCTCTCACAATCGGGTGTCTGAAATGCCACTGCAGAGAGCTTGCATCAATGGAGGCATAAGAGCAGATCTCACATTTGAAAGGTTTCTTGCCTACCAGGAAATGGAAAGCAAGTATGAAGGATGTAGTATCTTCTATGGGAACACAAAGTCTGTGTGGGATATTCAAAAGAAAATCAGTGGATTAGCATTTACAGCACATCCTCAAAGCCACAGCTCATCTTTCACATGATCTTGTTTCTAATGAAGCATGATCTTAGATAATGGTCTAAGCAGTTAAAGGTTACAGTCTGTTTTACCAGGAGACCTACTGCATCTAAATTTGGCTTCCACCATAAGTCTAATCAAGAAAAACTGGCCAGAACCACTTCCAAATTTAGTTTTGATCTTCTTTTCTGAATCAAAAGTTCAGAGGGCCAACTTTCAGCATACTCTATGTCACCAATTAAAAACAAACAAGCACAAAAAATCCCTCAGAAAGGGGAAATGTAGAAGAATTGGAAATTTTCAAGAAGCAAAAGGAAATTACAATAAGGGAAAGTCATTTTAACTTAATGAAGAAAACACACAAAGAATTTTCTGTAAAGACAGCAAGGACATTTACCTCACAAATACAAAGGAAAACAATAACTTTCAATAACAAAAACATTGAGAGGTACATTCCTAAAGGACTAGCCTCCCCTTTCATCTACATTCCCACTGACAATTTCTAATTTACAATATTTATCTTCATATTTTTCTGATGTACTAAAATTCTGAAATATTAGCCTTACAGTGGAGAATCTGAAACAAACCTAACCAGAAAGAAACCATGGACTAAAAAAAACTAAGCAGAACCACAGAATGATTGAGGTTGAATGGAACCTCTGGAGGTCATTTGGTCCAACCCTCAAATAGGCAAACCTATTTTCACTTTTGCAGCCAAAAATGAAAACACAAACCAAATACATTTGAGTTAAAAAATAATGAAAAGTGAACATATTTTAAGAATCTAAGTCCTAAGAACACCAACCCTGGTATAGTAATAATTGTCCTCAAGACAGCATTTCACGCCAATGTTATTATAAGTAACTCTCCAGCTCCAGTTTTATTAGCGTTATCTTTTAAGAATTAATGCAGGGGATATCACATTGAGTGACCACTGCATAGTCAGCATGATGTGGAAATCAAAGCATTTTTTTACGTTTACCCCCAGTTGTCAATGGTGAAGTAAACAGGAAGAGGCTGATGACGTTTTCAGGAGCAGTTGTCAATGGCTTGATATCTAGATAATAAATTACATTTTCATAGGTAATAAGCAGCTTCTTAAAACTCATTAAGTATGTTTGCTGTAGGTTACATAGCAGGTCAGTTGCAGAACATGGAATAGGAGACAGTTCTGGATTTGCAATCTTTCATCTAGACAGTGACTTATTTTGTTCATTTTTTGCAAAAGTTTAATTAATTTTGCATGTTTCGGGTCTCTTGTGTACTTACGCACCTGAACATCATTAATAGTGCCTGGTCACACTGCCTAGCCAGCCTCCTAGTAGTCGCTTAGCTCTTCTTTGGGTATCACTCTTCTTTTCCTGTACCTTCCGAAACACTGTCGGCTGCCTTCTACATTAGCTAAGAATGTTTAATAGAGAAAACGTCTGCCTTTGAAGACATGGTATACTTCCTACCACAGAGATTGAGAGCCATCTGTCCCAATAGCACGAGACGTCTATCGGCCCCCTTCACACTTCTGTTTCCTGCCAGACATCTGCCTACTCTCCTCTGCTGCCTCGTGTGATGCTATGGCTCCAAGGCTGCGGGATGGAACACCACCCACGTCGCTCAACTGCCGGAGCACCGCACTCCTGCTCAGCCACTGCAAGAGTATTTAATTTCTTCAACTCGCTGAAAAGTTAATTTTGCCAGTGTGGACAAAGGCGGATATTTGCTATTCACTATGCTGCCAGGTCCTATAAGATGAGTTCTCAGCAAGCTGATTTATTTAAATATTATCACAAGCATCTAACTAGGTCCCCACTGTCCTGTCCACCCACTCACTGCACACATCAAGTATCATGTTTCAGAAGGCCATTAATGCAACATAGCACGTTCCCATCCTATTCATTCAGTTAAACTTATTTTCTAATCCTGTAAAATGCTCAGTTCAGAAAAAAGGAGAAAGGCTTCACTTTTTAAATATCAACAAGATGGAGCAGATCCAACAGTTCCAAGCAGACAGTGCTACAAAGTACGTTCTTCTGTGTAAACTCAGAATTTCTAATGCAAGTGCCTTTTTGGCAGACTGATGGACTTAATATAACCATGGCAACACAAATTCTATGTAAACAAATCACTTGACTGAGACAGAAAGGACCCCAGAGCATCAGTCACAGAGAGGCTGGGCCTTTGATAGAGGTTCAACATTAAACTTTGAAACAGAAAACTGAAGCAGGAAGCTTTCCAGAAAATGAAAGGGAATGTAGCCAAAGTGGACAAACAATCTATTATATTAAAAAACTTGAAATAGGCCAATATGTGCAAGTTGATTTAAAAAGTTTTGAGAAGACACTCCCGTTCTTTCCTGGCAATGGAGCACCAGTACAGAACAAAAAATTATGAACTGGTTGAAGTCCACATCCCTCTGAACTAGCAAAGATATCCTTTTCAGTTAACAAGTCAGGAACATAAGCTGTCCTTGTCTTTGCAGTATCTATACCTTTACACAGATGTCTCCTGAATATGGATCCTAAACCAGGATCAAATATAGCCTTAATGACCAATATCCTTAAATGCCAAAAAAAACCATTTCAGTTAAAAATTTGCCTGTTTTGTTAAATCAGGACCACAGTGTTTGGTTTTTGCATATTCAACGTAAGAGAGAGAACTACCAATAGGTAAAACACACCCCTTTTCTGTAGAAATCCTTCTCATGTCACAAAAGCAGCACTCCTACACAGCATTCAATATTTAACTGTACAGTACTTTTTTTTTTCTCCCTAAGCAGTTTAGCTAAGTGGTAACATGAAGAAGACATACATGTAATCCATGTATACATTTGCATCTGCTCTATCAGAGAGGCCTCGAGCCTTGTTTCATACTGGCAGTGAAAGGCTTTGATGCCAGTATGCATTCCCATGTGTTTCTGCAGAGCTAAGTATAGGAATGCTTCCTGTCAGAAAGGAAATTAACCTTGTCACAGCTGGAAAACAAGCATCTATTTTTCCCGTATAAGTGGTCTGAAGGGGTGACATTTCTCAGTTACTGTGTTAATTTAGGCTTTTAATGCCTTTTATCATGAGTATTTTGAGCCTATTAGTTAGGAAAGATTGATATCACTATGGGAAAGATAAGAGCATAAAGATTCCTATCAGACCTACCTACAATCAAATACTGCAGTTATTATTTCATTATGTTCCAATTATTTATTTATATTATCCATACTTTGCTGAGTTGAAATAATTTACTAGCAGGCAATACTGCATAACGCAACATGATCACATTGGATTGTTGTATTTTGATGTTTGAATGGTCCACCTAAGTTTTCTAGAATTTTTTTGTCTGGGTGAAAAAGACATTCTACCTTCTCCACTGCATGACCTGCTACTCTTTCAGGCCTGCAAGTAGAATTTATTTAAAAGGAAAAATAATACATATGAAAATTATATGTGTGCTTATATACAAAGAGAGGATTCCTAGGCAATACAACTGTAAAACATTTGAAAAGGCCTACACAGATCACAGATCTGCTGTTCCAAATTCCCTGATTTTCCAGATTCTTCCCCACACCATGCTTAGAATACCTCAAAACCATTTAACTCTATGTCTCAAGCACTTAAAAGTTCCTCAAAACTCAGCAACAACAGAGGAAGAACTGGCTGTTCACAAATTCAAACACAGGTCTACCTTTTAGACATTTTTAACACACAATAATTTCAAAGGGATAAATATAAGCATAGAAGAACTTTTAAATCCTTGTCCTGTGGAAGTCAACTATAGCACGTTTAAAAAGTGCTTACATCTGTATCCAGATTATTGATGAGCACTCAGCAAAAGGAAACAACGTCCTTTTGACTCATACCTGTAAATAATTAATTACTAAGTAAATACTATTTCCAAATACATGCACTACGTTCACATATTGGATGTAATAAACAGGATTACTCATTCTTTAAACACTCTATAATGAAAACACAGATATTTTCATGACACATTCGTGAAGGTAATTAAAGTCCTGCTATTTTAAAAACAAAGTATTTCAGAAAACAATGAAATTAGTTTATATTATACTCAATACTTCTACTGTAAAAGTATTCCCGCTAATTCTAAATTAAGAGTGACTCATATAGCTGTTATTTTATGCAACAGTATTCAAAACAAGAAAGATGCAAAAGGAGATTTAATCCTCAGTTATTTGTGTGGATTAACACTTTCTTGCACCAGATAAATAAAGCTTACATTGCTCTTAACTTGCATGATGGAACTTAAGTACTCAGGAGAGTTGTTGAAGTGTTTGATGCATAGAAGGTGTGAAAGCTAAAACAGTGATCTTGGTAGAACCAAGGGCCTATACGGAAAAATTTGGGATTTAAACAGTGGGCTTCAAGATGAAAGCCAACTCTGAAAGGCAAGCTGTGCCATTCTGAATAACTCTTTGAAAATTTTTTGAAATTTTTCCTCTCTTCCCTAAAAATTTGTGATCTTTCAAGAGGAAAAAAATCACCAAAAAAAAAAAATTGTGAAAGATCTAGATTCTAAACTCCTGCAGGACAGACAGAACTTTTTTAGAGCTATGAAGCAGAGACCAGAAATGCAGAGGCTAATTTCTGTAATATCTTTGTGAATCCAATGCAAGTATAGTAGTTCAAAAAGTACAACATGTCGATTCACAGATTAGGAAAATGTTAATTGTTATAATTTCTACTCACTGAAATCAGAATTAAAACTGTACTTTTTATGCATTTAAAGGATGTCTTTCACAATGATGTAACAGAACCCTCCTTTGTTAGGGAATTAAATGCTTTGTAGAAAAGTAGAGCTATTTGGATTTTCTAGCTATTTGAATTACTCCTTAAAAAAAGGGTAAGCATAGCTGCCTATTTCCAGCATATTTAATAGCTTTAAATGCAGATTTCAGCATTCTGGTAATGTTGCAGGCAGCGCTTGTGGTACAAACTCC